GACACATACTATACTTTAGAAGTCGTCTCTCTACCCTAACTCTTTCTAGGACCAGCTGAGTAAGAGGTTTTAGCTTTATAAATTTCTCATATCTAATAGCACTGCTCCATGTGTGCTTGTGACATGGAGTTGAGTTCATTTCAGTGAAATAGGAATTAATATAAGGTGACAGAGTTTATATATACCATACACCAATAAGTAAAAAAATCTTGAGGACTTTTGATGCTGTCATCTGAGCAAAAATCTGGAAGATGCTCACAAGAGTCATCAAACACAATCCCTTTCATGTGCTATGATTATGAGTTAGGAAAAATTCCAAAGGAACTGAAGCTTTAAAACTTCATTCCCAGGATGTGTTTCATGGTTTACACGTAGGGTTTTTAAAGCTTGCTCAGACATATGCAAACTTTTTTTTTTTTGGTCAGTAATAGTGATCACCAATTATCACTTCAATAGGATTTTGGTGATCGCCAAGTCTAGGACTTCTCCCAGTGAGGTCTACAGCTGAACTGCGTCTCTGGAGGAGGCTCTAGGAAAGCTTCATTTGAAACAGGAGATTCTCACAAACACTACAGCATGAAAAGCAATGGTACAACCAAAGGCTTTAATTTTGCAAATGAAGACAAAAGTCAAGGGACCTGTGCCCAAACCCCAAACTTCCACTGATGGCAGTCCTCCCCAGGGCTGGGACTCAGATTGCCTAGCCCTGCCTTTGGGGTCCTTCCCCAAAGACCCCCCTTTTATGAAACAATTCTGGCCCATGAGGCTTACGTTACTGGTGCTACCTTTAGTTTAAGGTCTGAGAAACCACCTCTGCTTCTACCCTGCCAGGAAGCTTGCCCTTGCACTTTGGATGGTGGGATAGGTATTTTTTGTTTTTAGACAGTCTCACTTTGTCACCCTTGGTAGAGTGCCCTGGTGTCACAGCTCATAGCAACCTCAAACTCCTGGGCTCAAGCAATTCTCTTGCCTTAGCTTCCAACGTAGCTGGGGTTACAGGTGCCTGCCACAATGCCCGGTTTTTTTTTTTTTTTCCTGTTGCAGCAGTTATTGTACATGGCTGGGGCCCTGCCCACTGAGCTACGGGCACCACCGAATAGGTATTCTAAGACTGGCTGGCAAAGGGGAATGTTTCTCTTCTATGGGGGGGAGGGGGGGATTTTACAGAACAAGGTTAAAGCATTAGCTAAATCAAGAGCCTAAAAAGCTTGCCAATCTCCCTTTAGCTGATTATTCGCTCATCCTGGAAAAAGAAGGTACTTTTTAACTGAGTAGCAAAGATTTCCAGAAAGACATACTGCTGTGCTTTTGTTCATTCTACAGGGAGCCTGCCATCCCTGCTACCTGTGTTTAACCGCAGCCCCAAGGACCAGATAGAGGTAGTAATTAATTATAATTTGTTACAATTTAAAGACCACAAAAGAAATGCTAAAAACTGGTTTAGGAAAGCATTTTTAGATGTGGGGGTATTAATGATTAATCCTCCAAAACCTTCAGTTGGTAATAGGTAAAATGCCACAGCCGGTGACAGTCACTTAATTGCTGGTACAATTCACAATGCCTAAGAATGGACAAGGCAGCTTTTTGTAGCCCATTATCAAAGTGTCAACAATGATTATTGCCAATATAGTTATACAAATGCCAATTGCAGGGCAGCTGTTTTCTTTCAAATGGGTTCCAGGGAGAAGGTTGTATGTTAAAAGGAATCTTCTTATTGTGACCCTATGACTCCATTACACAGGCTAGACTTTACCTAATAAAATCAGACATGAGTTTTGCGAAGAATCGCGCAGACGATGAACAAAATGCATATTTGTGTAAATCCCCAGGACTCTCTCTCTCAAGAACATGGGCTTTTTAAAGAGTCAGGTCAAATCCCCCAGAAATCAAGTGAGTCCAGTTATGTTTTCTTTTACTTCCCCGGGTTCCCTGCTGAGTAGCTTGCTAGCTGGCAGCATGCTAGGACTGTCATTTGTAAAAAGCAGTCCGCTCAGCTATAATTACTAATTTGGTGTCACACTGGAATTGCAGCGCAGCTGTGAAAAGATCGACCACCAGGGAGATTCGCATTTCTCTGTCTCATTTAGAGGAGGCGAAACTGCTGGAGCCATGAATGGAAGATGCCCTTCCATTAAAAGGGAAGGAATTAAAGAATAAAACAAGTCATACCAGCTGTCAGAATTTGACAACGGTTTTTTTTTTTTAAAGCAGCACTGTTCTCCTTTTAAAAAAAAAATTCAAGACATCAGTACATGCATGTACTGAGACTTGTTGCCATGAAAGTGATTCCATTATTGCTAGACTATAACTTCCTTCCTTCCTTCAGTTCCATCTTCATTATTATGCTAATGCAAATCTCACTAATTATGTGTCAAGTTGAATCTAAGGAATGGGACTTGTCTGCACCTATATCACTTAAATATTTGAAATGACAGTTTCAAAACTTGTCATCAACAAGTTAAAAGTATGGGAAATTAAAACAGTTATAATGACTCAATAAAAGAAAATCTAAGAAGAATAAGAATTGAGATTACTAATTAAGCCATGTCAATGGAGAGTCTCTATGAAAATTGTTCTCAGCACCATAACAATCTTTTTGAAGAGAATATAGTCAACGATGGCAATGAAAACTACTTCTTTGTAAAATCATTTGATTCCATTTACAAAAGGCTAAAATGCAGAAAATAAATATATTTAGCCTATTCTAAATATTTCAAACCAGAGGGACTGTGATTGTTTTATGACATTTATATTTTAATTTATGAAGATTTCTGTAAGAGTCAGAAATAATTTATGTATGATTTAATTTATGTATGAGTTCTGGAAGAGTACAGAAATATACCTGATCCTGGAAAGAAAACCCAAACATTGGTAGAGAAAGAAAAGCAAAGACTTTTTTTTTTTTTTTTGAAACTTAAAAAACAGAATGTTTTTAGAAGCGCTATTAATCTATCTTACTGAATCTACTACAGTTTAATAAATGTTCTTAGATTATAAACAAACTGCCTCATCTGCTTCTCCTGTCCCAAGCTGGTGGCTCCATGGTGGTTCGCATGGAGGTGAAGGCATCAAAATATGTGTTCACAGTGAAGATGGAAATGGTCACGGAAGGAACCACTGTTTCCTTTTCTCTTCCTCGCTGCCTCCCTCACCACAATGTGGATCTGGCCACCACCCATCCTTGCTGACCAGGTCACCAGAGACCTCTCTGTTGATAAGCCCAAATTCTCAGTCCTCATCCTACCTGGCCTGACATTGGCAAGTTCTCTTTCTCGGGTTTCTGAGACAACCTTAGAGTGAGTTTCTGAGGGTAGGGGAGCGACTGTGTCTGTTTTGTTCCCTGAGCTTTCTGTACAATGCTTGGCAACGTGCTTGCTCAGAACAGACGCTCGCGTGAATGATCCCAACTTTCCTGGCTCGTCTTGTACCTCTGGCTGATCCTTTGCAGGACTCTTTCTTGATCCACCCCGTGAGGGACAAATGTTCTTCTGGGAGGGTTCTAGATAAACTTCTCCATATGCTCTTCCTGTGTGACTCCATCCACTTCTCAGTCTTTGCTGACTGTACTTCCATGGAGGGTTCCCAGCCGAGACCCCCCTGTACTGAGGTCATCCTTACATTAATCCTCCTACTCTGTTCCTTAATTCAGTGGAATTAACACCTAATCAACTGTCCAAACCAGGAACTTGGGGTTCATCCTTAACAGCCCTCTCGCCACTCACACTGGCACCATGCACCTCTGGCATTCAATCTCAGAGTTCTATAGCTTCATCCTCCTGCATCTCTCTGTAATCTACCCACTTCCATACCCTACTTTGGGCCCCCCCTCCTCCTCTGTGGTTCAATCAGCCTTTCCAATTGGTCCAGGTTTGCTCTGTGGCCTCCTGTCTAAGACACCAATCATACTTTGTGCCCTTGAACTTGCTGTTCTTCCCCTAACTTGTACTTGTCCTTCTAGACATTACCTCCCCCACGAAATAATGTCTGTGCACCTTAAGCAGGTACCCTTAATCTGAGCTCCAGAGAACCCCAAGAGTCCCCAACCAAGGGTTCATCATGTGGCCCCACTCCCTACCTAATGTCTGTATTCCCCAACTAGATGTGTCTGTCTGGCTCATGATTTTAGCCCCTGAAGCTAGGATAGTAATTATAAAGATATTCACAAATACTTCTGAGTCAATAAATAAAATTTAATATTTTGTAAAAACTCAAACCTAAATTGGATGGTATCATTTTACCAAAACATTAAATACACAACCTTGAGCTCTGTTCTCAAATGGAACAGTCAAGAAAAGGCACTTCCCAAGGTGATGGGTAGGAATAACTCACAGACGCACATGTTGATCTGGGTTAGTTTAGGTTTGAATCCAGGAAGCTACTTCCTAAATTCTTACTCAAACTGATTGTTCAGGGTGACTCTGTTGATAATCTCATATGACAAACTAAATGTAGTTCAAAAATTATCTAAGGACCAATGAAGCAGGAAAAGAAAAAAATGATGTGGGCCCCTCATAACCTGATTCTTTTAAACAAACAATAATCATATCTTAACATTTGATAGCTGGAAAGGAGTTTGAAGCTCATCCAAGCTAACATTTTACAGGTGAGAAAATAGAGAGGCAAAGAAACATATTCAGGGTCATGTCTGGTCCGTGGTGGGGAAGAGGGGTCAGTGCTGCCCCCCCCCCCAGCCTGTTCAGTACACATGAGCTGTAACTGCTACTGGGGAGTTTCTGCACAGGAGGACGGCTGCGTTCTCAGGAGCATGCCTCGCATGGAATGTTCCTTCCAACCACCTTCACACCTAATAACTATTCCATTATTCAACAATCTAAGGAAAAGAAATGAAGTAGAATACTCCTCAGTTCTAGAATAATGTGTTTCTCACTGGTGACAGCAGGGTGAGAAGTGGGAAGAATTGCAGTGGTAAGAGATGAGAAAGAACACACCTGAGCGAGACCGCTCCAAGGAGGTGGTGAGGAATGTGGCAAGGTACTTACCTTTTCTTTGTCACTAGCTTCTCTAGCCACTGTAGAGCCCTGAAATACAAAGAAATAATAAAAAACATGCACACATGGGGCATAGGGTTTCACATTGATATTCAATCGGTCCTGGCACAGCAGAGAGCACATGCCCTGCTCTGGTGCCCCTCCTTGTCCAGCTCTCTGCCCAGCCTGTGCCCTTCACCCCGTAGGTATTCCTGCCCACTGGCCACTGCCTCCTGCCCCAGCCCTGGCTCTGTCATGCTCACTTGTCTTTCTCTGGATTCTGTCCACCTGCTAGAAATCAGAAAACCTGACAATCACTTGAGCAATAACTTACTAAACACTGGATCACACTCAGGCTTTCCTTTTCCCATCGATTGGCAGTGTGGCTGGTTTTCTCATCTTCAAAGTGGCAGTGCCTGAGGTGACCACTGAGGCTGTAAGTGCCTCTTTACCCACATCACACCTTCCAGAGGTAGGCCTGTCCCAGCCTTTTGGTTGCCTTTTCTGTGGTGCTCATTGATTTTGCTCCCATTTTCGAGTTACTAACAAACATTTCTTCCCCACCTGCTATATGTCAGTCCCCCACAGACACTTTCTGACCCTCTTTACTTTGGAGATTCCTTCAAAGACAGGCGTTTGCTTGTATTTCTTTTGTGCCAGGCTCTATGCTGAGCACAGAGTTACAAAGTGGAAGAAAACAGGGTCCTTGATCTCACCAGAGTCTACTCTACTGAAGTGGCTTTCAAAAGTGTGCCTGGTGCTCTGGGTTGTCCTAGACGACCCAACTCCACCTTAGACACCAACAGGGAGGTTTGGGGGCTGGAATTCGAGCAGAGAAACTTCCTTTTGCTTGTGGAAGATTTTTAAGAGAAGAGTAGGGAAAAGAATGATCTAATGAATTCTGAAATATGTGAATATAGCAATGTCTATTTATTCTATGTTCCTCAATGATTACTACAGTACACGTGGCAGATGCCCAGTGATGCTTGGTGTTGGCTGAATGGACAGCTGGAGAAGGATCACTGACCACTTTGCTGAGCTCCCTTCCTCCCTAGCACTGGATGCCTACACTGCTACCAGGTCAGCAAAGCCCTGGCCTACTCAAATTGACATTTTCTGCCCTGGAACATTTGAGTTAGCCAATCATTAAAAGAACTTATATTTGACTTGAGGGAAGAAGTGAAAGCACCTTCTATATTGGCCAACTGCAAAGAAATCAAAATTTTTACACCATTACCAGCTTTCATGCTAGCAGCTCAGGCAGGGGTCAAGCTGTGTGTTGCCTGATCCTCACAAATGCAGAAGCTCAGACTGAAGAGATGCCTCAAGGTGGAAGCAGGTCAACAACAGGCCACAAATCTCCCCAGGGCCAATTCTCCTTCCCTGGGACTGGGGGATATAGGAGACCCCACTGCCGGCTGGGAGAAAATGCTCAGTGTTTCCGGAGCACAAAGCTGATGACCCATCAGATGGAGACAGACCAGGGGAATCATTCGTTAAAGAAAACCTCAGGACACATCCCATGACCTGGGTGAACAGTATACTAGTACAGGTGCCTGGACGGTGTCATTTGCTGGGGTCTGCTTCTCTTCCTCCTGGGACCCCTAAATATGGGCCACAAACACGTTTCTTAATACATCAGTTTCTAAAAAAGGATGTTCCTGTTTTTTTTTTCCTTTTAAATGGGACATCTGTGATACTCAGCACTGCCTACGCTGCTGGGTAGAGGAAACAAGCTATCTATTCTACTTCATAGCCTCAACCAAGTTGGTGGTTTGTGTGTTTTTTCTCTGTAATTTACTCTGCTTCTGATTCTACGGGAAGCTTCATCTCTATATAAATGCTGGTCCTTAGCCTAGAAAGAAAAACTAATCCAAGTTTGTATTAATTCACAAAAAAAATTAAAAATGGAAAAGTAAGGCTGACAGTTTAAGCCATGAAATGATGCCAAATGGATAAGTCCATCACAACAAAGTACTGGCGAGAGCAGGATTTATCTACTCTACCAACTACAAGGGGAGGGGAAATTATGAAATGTAAGACAAATTACAACTAGAATATCCAATCTACAAATATAATTTGCATCAAGATATGTTTAGTAGATGTCTACCTGTCTGGGACACTATCTCAGGCATCTGAGGGGGATAAAAAATAGTGGAAGAAAATACTTGCCCTGAAGGCACTTACTTGTAATGTGCCATGCCTTATGCTGAACTCATAGATATTTCATTTAATCTTTGTAGTAACTCTGCAAATGTAAGTAAAATCATCCCTGTTTCAGGAGATGAAGAAATGGAGGCTCTTACACGTTCAGCAACTCACATGTGGCCAACAGGTCATAAAATCAAGACATGTGGCTCAGAGGTCACTCTTGCTCTCTTCTATGGGAGTCAGACCCGCACACAGGGTCCCTGAGATACACAGCAGAGCATGCTGGGCAGCACTGCAAAGGCTTCATGAAAGAGCAGGTGCTGGCAAGAGCCCTGGGGGGTGGCTGGGATTTCCCCAGGGGAAATTCCCAGGGAACAAAGTGGCCTGAGCTAAGACTTGGAAGCAGGACAGGCCAAGAGTGTATTTTGGAAGTTGATCCAGTTTGTCTGGACCCCAGAGTTTAGGGAGGCAAGCCCAGACCACTTCCTTCACTTAGACTAGGATTTCTCTAAATGTGGTTCAGAAGCCTGGGGTCCCAGGACCCTTCGGAGAATCTACAAAGTCAATGCTATTTTTATAATACTGAGACATAATTTGCCTTTTTTTACTGTTGATAGTCACATGGATTTCACACAAATAATGGTGCGGGAAACTGCTGGTAGTAGCACAAATTGATAGTGGCACAAATACTAATATTAGTATTTGTGATTTAATCCTCTCTGAAACTAAAAAAACAACTAGCTTCATTAAAACGATCTAACAATTCACTGGACCTCTGAAGGCACATGCCTGGTTTCTATGACTTGTTATCTGCTGAACCTCTATAAGCCTAAGGTAGTACCTTGTGCAAGTAAGCATCTAGTTTAAAATATCGAATAATGCTTTTATTGCTTGATGAAATAATTAAGTTAGCTGCATCAAATCTTGACCCAGGAGTACCCCCCTTTTCAATGTTCTCTACCGGAAGTTTGCATAAGGCACTTCTGTTTATAGTGAATGTTTTCTCAAGAACTACTTTGGTGATGGTCTGAGTTATGAGCTAAACTAACCACCTTTTCCACGAAGCATTTTTACTTGAAAGGGCAACTAACAGTGTTTGTTTATTCAGATCTGGGTATTTGGTGGGCATTTGCTCAGAAAAGAACAAAGCTGCTAGGCTTGGCTGAGCGCTGAGGGAGAGAAACTTCGTGCTGTTATTTCATGGAAAACAACTGACAGGACTTGTCACCAATGACAAAAGTTGAGTTTTCAAGTGAAAATTAGAATTAAAAAAAACTTGTATCTGCCCCCCTGAGCTTCACAGCTTCCCATCATGCCAAAGACTTAGTTGATGACATTGGTAGTAACCTTGATGTGACTTTTTGACAACAGTACAATGTGCCACATGTTCTAAATGACAAGTGTACAGCTTTACAAAATCATGCATTCAGACTAATGCACGCAAACAGACCAAGGGATTTTAATGGAAAGAGTACCAAAAATTCATAAATCTGACTTAGAGTTCACAATGTAACTAAGCTTTGAGAAATCACCTCTTGCCAAGTTCCTCTACAATATCAAAGAATAACATCTATAATTATCTCCTTTCCAACTATATGATTTGTGTGAAGTAATATTTTCTTCACATACTTCAATGAAATAACACAATAGGCTGATAACTGAATTACAGAAGACACTCTAGCGGTCTTACATTAAGCCAGACATCATAGAAATTTGTAAAAATGCGAAGCAATATTGGTCTAATTTTTTGCTTTTGGAAAATGGTTATTTTTCATAAAAACATTAACATTAATTTATTTTAAATACAATATTTTAGCTCTTTAATTTTGAATATTTTAAATACCCATAGACACAAACTACAAAAGCAAAAACCTTTTTTGGAGGGGGATCTCCTTTTAGAAGTATGAAAGGGCGGAGACCAAAAAACTTTGAGAATAAATGTAAATCTGGTGGATGAGGGTTGACAAGCTTTTTCTGAAGAGTCAGAGGGTAAATATTTTAGGCTCTCTGGTCCATAAAGGTCTCTGTGGTAACTTGGTATTCAATTGTGCCATTGTGGTCCCAAAACAGCCACAGACAACATGGAAACAATGGACGTGGCAATATTCCAATAAAGCTTTTTTATAAAGTTTGGCATTCAGGCCTGTCACAGTTTGCCAACTCCTAACTTGGACATTTTTCCCTAAGTTGGCGATGCTGGAAATCAGACCATGTCCCTCTACTCTCCGAATGTCTAGGGGTTCCCTCTCCCTTCGAGTTTTTGAAATGGCCTGTCTCAGGGCCTTTGTACTTAATGTTCCCTCTTCTAGAACGTTCTTCCCTCAGCTCATCTCTCCTCACCCTCAAGTCTGCTGCAATGTCATCTTCTCAGGGAAAGGTTCCTGGACACTTATTTAAAACTCTATGCCACTCCATACTGAACCTCAGAGTCAAGGCATTCTATGATAGACATATTCTTATTTGACAATGTGAATGTTACTTTCTTTGCTTTACTATTATTATTGCTTAATACTTCATTACAGCAATCGTCTGATTTCTTTTCTGAATGTATTTATCTTCATTCTTTACGAGGTTTTTGTTCTTAAATATTGTTGCTGTTGCTAAATTTTAAGCCTTTTTAATTCTGTGAAGGCAAAAAGTGGAAACTTAATAACCACATGTATATGTAAAAATTAAAAAAAAACTCTATCCCTCCCCCTCATCCTTTCTGCCTATAGCACTTACCACTTCCAAATAAGCTACATGAATGACTTATTTTTACCTAGCACCTATCTTTGTCCACCATAATGGCAACTCTTTGAGTGGAGGTTTGATCTGTTTTATCCATCACATTATTCCCAGTATCTAGTACAGTGCTTGGTATTCAGCTGGTGTTAAATAAGTAGGCATGATAACTCTAATATGCACAAGAGTCCTTTGGTAAAGTCAGCAAGCATCGACTCTTTGACATGAAAGTGTACACTGCTGCTAGCCTGGTAGCTTTAAGCTCTGAGCACCTACTAAGTGCCTTATGATCTTGAATTATTTTACAAAAATTAAGAAAATTGATCTTACCTTTAAGTCATATTTTCTATATACAGATAAACGGTGGCTGAACACATTTCTTGTAACAATCACATATATTTCAACTCCATCAACATTAAGTCGGTACATGCCCAAGAACTGGGGAAGAAGGGTGACCCCGTGACATTCCACTATATACTGCAGAGGGCACAAGAAAAAGAAAAAAATCCAATCAAAAGATTGTTTAGATGTGAAATTGACACGCGTATAGCATTTATAAGAATTGAACTCCAACCATTAAGATTCTGTTTATAAAGAACCACATTTGTAACACTTACCAATCACATCTGCATTCACCATCTATATTTTAACTTTATCTCCAAAGAGACATTTTTCTCCACATTCCAAGTTAATTTGTAAAGTCAGAAAGTGGACAGAATAGTGAAGGCAAGAGGACACGTGACTGTCCTTTCCTAAATTCCTTGCTCATGAAATTCTACCCACCTAGGATCTCTACCCAAAAGCCCTGCTGATGATTCTACACGGTGGAGTAAGAGTGGCTTGGACACTAAGATCAGCTTTTTAAGATAGTGTTGAAGTCAAGACTAAAGACATTGCAGAGAGCCCAGTGTTGGAACCAGGAAGATTGGGGTTCTAGTCTTGGTTTTTGTTTCCAACTGAGACTTTAATGTCTGGAGCTAAACTGCCCTCTAGAGTGGGGTGAAGGGAAGGGGGTCCTACAATCACAGAGCCTTCACTCCCACTCTGCAGACAAACAGGAGATTTTCTGGTCCTCTGTTGGTTTCTGTCAAGGCCACTAGACAAGTCTCAGAGTTGCAAAAACACAACAGGACTTCAGCAGCCTTCAGTGACCATACTCCAAGGAACCACAAGGTGGAGCTACTTCTCCTTGGGAGCAGATTTTTACAAAACAAGGCCCCACTCCATTTCCCAAAGGATGGTTTCTTCCTTTCTTTAAAATGAGGGGAAAAACAGGTTTCCAAAAAGCTCTCCTATGTCCACAAGGTGTGTGAAATCTCCAGGATGTGTATAGCATCAATAGTGGCTCCCAATAGTGTAAACACTGCATGCGTCGTGCATATGTACACAGAAATGCCCGGAAGAAGGCTCAGCTAATAGTAATGATGGAATTGGGGGGAATTCTGATTCTTTTTTAAATTACACTGCTTGAATTTTTCTTTTCTTTTTTTTTTTTTTTTTACAATGAGCATTTTATAATAATAAGAAGGTAATTAGGCTCGGCGCCTAT